GAGGAAGACATTATCTTTATTATATTGGTCAGGTAATTAACCCACTCTTGCCCTAAATAAAGACACTATTGCCATCTTCCAAGGTGATACACAAAAATCCTTGAAAGCTAGTCCAGAACAGAAGCTGATATAAGACGTGAAAAAGAATTGCAAGGCTGTTGGAGAATTGCCTCCCAATAGAATGCACTCTCCCCTTTAAAATTTGAGAAAAATTGACTGAATAAAAAGATCCATTGAAGATTTTTGATACCAAGACTGACCTCGGTTGTGCGGTGACGTGGGGTTTTTAAAGACTGAAGGAGGCAGGAAGAGACACAGATTTCCCAGGACACTTCAAAGGAGAGACAGATCTACGGGAGATGTTAACCTAGGTGAGAAATGAGAGGTGAGAGCAAATGAAAAGAAAGAATAATATCACATATTTTGAATAAATTGAAATTTGTTAGCTTATTAGAAAAAAATCTAAGAGCTATTCACGATTACAACAAATCATTCTGCATGAATTGATAACGTAAATTTAAAGCTCTCTCAATTTTAAAAAAGAAAAATAGAACATTTTTGCAGTCTTACAGTAGGAGAATATTTCTTAAAGAGAATAGTAAACATCTATAAAGGAAAAAAGCATTAAGTTATGTTAACATTAAGAATTACTCCTCATCAAGATACACACACACACACACACACACACACACACACACACAGAAAGACAAGACAGGAAGAGAAAGAGAGAGAACAAAGAAAGAAAACATGTCCAGCTGATACATAGAACTAATACGAATATAGGAAAAAGACAACACATTGGAAAAAAAGGACAAAATAAAGTTATGAATACTTCAAAAAGAGGTTTCCAAATTCATAACAAATATGTGAAAATATGCTCAACTTCCATAAAAAACAAAGGAAATGAAACTAAAATCACTACTTGGTACCAGAAAGTATCACACACCAACAAGAAGTCTAAAAATAAAAATGGAAAAAATTAAAAGTGTTGACTAGGATGTGGATGAACCAAGACCTCTGACACTGCTGGTGGGTGTGAAAATTGGTACAAACATTGTAGAAACCTCTTCGGCACTATCTCCTAAAGCTAAAGATGTGTAACCCTGTCACCAACAGCTCCACTATTACATATAGAGCCAACAGAAATTGGTATGTGTGTCATCAAATCATGTCCTCAATTTGCATACCAGCAGCATCTCTAATATTCTAAAACTGAAAATCAACCATATGCCTATTAACAGTGGAATGATAATTTTAATTGTTATATATTCATACAATAGAATATTATACAGCAATGCAAATGAATGATTAATAACAATATGAAGCAATAAATTCACAAACAATGCAAATAATTACAAAAGCCAAATACAAAAGCATTAGTCCTCTATGATTTCTTGTCTATAAAATACAAAACAAGCAAATATGACCTGTGTTGTTAGACGTCAGAACAGTGTTTCCCCTGAGGAGTAGTGACTGGGAGAGAGCACAAGGCACTTCTGAGGGTCTGGCAATATTCTCTTTATTGATCTAGTATTGATCTCTTTATTGATCTGAGTACAGAAAGGTGTTCACTTTGTGAACTCTCACTGAGCTATGCACTTATGACCTGTGCATGTGTCTTCAAACATTTAAAATACATCTCACCAATCAAACAGGTGGGATATGGTGGATAGATAAGTATTTTAATGTATTTATATTAAAAATGAATATTTTTGGGATTTAACAGTATTAAATACAGTGACACTGTGATTAGCTTTTAAATGCATGCTGAAATTTCTAGGTAAAATATAACAAATAATCATTATACAACTTTCAAAGAACAGAGGTCAATTATATTGTAGAATTATAATACAGAAGTACTTTTAAAAAAATAATAGATGGGGCTGGCCTCCTGAGGTAGCAGTTAAGTTTGGAACATTCCACTTAGGTGGCCTGGGTTCATGGTTCAAATCCTGGACATGGACCTACACCGCTCATCATGCTGTGGCAGTGACCCACATATAAAGTGGAGGAAGATCGGCACAGATGTTAGGTCAGGGCTAATCTTCTTCAGAAAAAAAAACCACTCCAATTCTCTCCTATAGTTGAGAGAATATCCACTTTGCTCTTGGAAAACTAAGGAACCACAAACTCCACATAAAGAAAATGGATTCATGTCTTTCTCTTTCAAATGGCTCTCCCTACAGCGCTCCAATTTTAATGCGAGTCTCCGTCATAAACTAACTTCATCACTTGAGAGACAGGAGTGTGCACCTCCAAATCTCTTTCTTGCAAACATGCCCAAATCATCTTCAAAACGAGAAAAATCTGCCCTCTGTAGCCCCCGATTCCATGCAATTTACACTTTTAAAAATTTTCATATTCACCTAATGCTTTTTAAAAATCAGATAAAAGGTAATTTTATGCTATCTTTTGCCCCACTCCGGCTCAATCTGGCAATTTCTACCTGAAAATATTTAAATATGCTTATCTTCCTTCATAACATCATTTTTTAAATAAATGACTAGGGCTTCTCTAAGGATGTAATGTAACAAAACTCATAACTGGCTCCAAAAAGCTTTATTCACTGACTGAATTTCCACTCCAGCACTATTAGATTCAGTTTCAGTAATGACCTGCCACACATGGTTCCATTTTCATGTACCTCGTCTTAAATTCCATGCCTAGTTCATTTCTGGGAAATGTACTGTGATAGATTTAAGTTACATACTTGAAGACTTCTCCATAGTATTGTGATTGTTTTAGGAACTGGAGTTTATTACTGTGTAAATTCTGAACTCTTCCATGGCAAACATCAGTAAAACTACAGTCACATAAGAATTTATATGATAATTATATAATATTTCCTTACAATTACTACTATACCTTATTGTTTACTTTGAAGAAGACATTCAGCATTCTCCGTTTACATTCTCTGGTCAAGAACTCATAACTGTACTTAGAACACTGAGGGGAATGAATGAATTACCAAATGAACATTGAGCGAATACATGCAATTCACATATTTCCCATAAGATTTTGTATTCTTTTCCAGGCAAAGAAGAGCCTGGATACACAGGAGTCAGGGCTTATGAGCAGAAAGGGGCTGGCAGTTGGGAAACACAGTCCTTATTGCAGTGGCGTTCAAGAGAAACTATTTAGGATTGATAAAAATAGCCAGACACACTTGAAAGGTGGAGGAAAGGGTGTAAAAATAGACAAAGGCACTCACCAGGAGAAGGGTGGTTTGGGTAGCTCTGGACTCAGGGGAGGATCTGGAGGAGACGTTGTCTTATGAAGGTGTTGGACCCTCTGGTTGTGGCTGTACAGGATGAAAACCATGGAGCCACTGGCCTAGAGCATCATCACCAAACAGAAAAACAACAGGGATTGATAGAAACGCTGCATATAATGAGTCTCCGGTTTTGTCATGATGAACAGCAGAACAGTATCCCAAACTTTTTATGTTTCTTATGTTTTTCTTGCTCCTACTGTTACTTATAAACATAGACATAATCTTGTCACCAAACAGTTCTGTTACTATATATGCAGCCAACAAAAATTTGTATGTGTGTCATAAAACATGTTCTAAATTTACATATCAGTACTATTCTTAATAGTCTCAAATTGAAAACTACTCATATGCTTTTTAACAGTGGAATGATTAAATTGGTTGTTTTCTATTCACACAATAGAAACCTATATAAAAATACAAATGAATGATAAATAACAATATGCAGCAATAAATTCATGAACAACATAAAGAATTACAAAAGCCAAATACAAAAGAGTTAAGGCTCTATTATTTTTTCATCTAAAATGCAAAACAGGCTAACGTGATCTGTGCTGTTAGCTGTCTGACTAGTGTTTCCCCTGAAGAATACTGACTGGGAGGGAGCACGATGGTCTTCTCGGGGTCTGACAACATTCTCTTTATTGATCTAAGTACTGAGTACAGATTGTTTTCCCTTTGTGAATTTTCATTGAGCTATGCACTCACGACCTGTGCATGTCTTTAAATTTTTTTTTTTAAATTGAGGTGCCTTTTTTTTTTAAAGATTGGCACCTGAGCTAACAACTGTTGTCAATCTTCTTCTTTTTTTTTTCTGCTTTACCTTCCCAACTCCCTCATACATAGTTGTATATCTTAGTTGCAGGTCCTTCTAGTTGTGGGATGTGGGATGCTGCCTCAACGTGGCCTGAGCGGTGCCGTGTCCGCACCCAGGAGGCGAACCCTGGGCCACCGCAGCCGGAGCGCATGAACTTAACCACTCGGCCACGGAGCCAGCCCCTAAATTTTTAAATACATATCGCCAATCAAAAGGTGGGATATGGTGAATAGATTAGTATTGTAATGCCCTTATATTGAAAAGGTGGGGTTTAATAGTAACAAATACAGTAATGCTGTGATTAGCTTTTAACTGTGTGCTGAAATTTATAGATAAAAAGAAACAAATAATGATTATACAACTTGCAAAGAAAAGGGGCCATTATAATGTAGAATTATGAAGGAAGGCATTTAAATATTAATACAAAAGAAGTTATAGATAAAATAAGAAAATAAATTCCATTGGTATCGAAATGCATCAATTATTATATTTAACTTAAATAGACCAATTACTTATTTTAAAATCAAACACCTTTTAGTACACTAATTCACAGTTTTTGAAGAGATATGGCCAAATAATAGAATTAAAGTGGGAATATGGAAAATAAATTTTATGGAATTTTAACAATTAAACAACTAGAATCATAATATATATATATATATCAGCTAACATATACTTAAAGATTTATCATTATTGAAATTAATAATTACTTGTATTATTTAATAAATATTAAAAATAATTATGTTCAATTTTTCTTAATTTGCAAGTTTCCAATATATTGGTTAATGGATAATAAACATGATTTACTTTCTATGGACATACACATAAATACACATAGATCTCACATAGACCTGTAAATATATTTACATACACAATGTAAGCATATGTGTTTCTATATATTTCTATTTTCACTTCTTTTTGCTTTGTGATCTAATTTCTGGTAAATATATGTCTATTTTAATCATAAATAGGAGTTCCTCTTTGTGTTACAAGGTTGGATATATATATTCATTAGGCCAAAATAATTATTTTGTTTTTCAAATTGTTGAATTCTCAATAGTTTGCATCAGCTTCAGAATGCAAGTACAGAGAAAAATGTATAAAAATCTCTCCTAATATTGAGGAAGTATCCACTTTCCTCCTGGAAAATCAAGGAGCCACAAAATCCACATAAATAGAATGGATTCATGTCTTTCTCTTTCAAATGGCTCTTCCTACAGTGCTCCATATTTAATGGAAGTCTCCATTATAAACTAATTTCATCATTTTAGAGACAGGGGTGTGCACCTTCAAACCTCTTTCTTGCCAACATGCTCAAACCATCTTCGCAAAAAAAGAAAAATCTGCCATCTCCAGAACACAGTTCCTTGCAATTCACCTCTGTTAAAATAGGGACACTTACCCAATGTTGTTTAAAAATCAGCTAAAATGTACTTTTATGCTCTCTTTTCTCCTACTCCAGAACAACCTGACCATTTCTACCTGAAAATGTTTAAACTTGCTCATCTCCCTTCATAACATCATATTTGAAGTAAATGACTGCTGCTTCTCTAAAGATGTAATGTACAAAACTCATAGGTGACTCTGAAAAGTTTTATTCACTGATCCAGTTTCCCCTCCAGCACTAGGGTCTTCAGTTTCAGTAATGATATGACACATGTTGTTCCATTTCCAAGCACCTTTTCAAGAAATTCCATGACTAGTTCATTTCTGGGAAATTTACTGTAGTAGATTTACATTACACACTCAAAGAAATCTCCATACTGTCTAGATATTTTTAGTACTTGATTTTATTATTGCATAAATTCTGCACTCCCCAACAGAAATCATTAGTAAAATCTCAATCACATGAGTATTTACATGATAAGTATACAATATTTTATTACAATTACTGTTATGTCTTATTTTTTATTTTAAAGAAGACACTCAGCATGACCTGTTTACAGTCTCTGGTCAACTACTCATAAATGTACTTAGAACTCTGAAGACTACGAGTGAATTACCAAACAAACATTGTGCAAATACACAGAATTCATAGATTTGTCATAAGATTAAGGGATTTTGTATTCCTTATCCAGGCAAAGCAAAGACTGGATACACTGGAGTCACGGGTCATAAGCAGAAAAGGGCTGGCAGTTGGGAAACATAGAGTGATTATTGACTTGATATTGAAAAGAAGCCAGCTAGGATTGTGAAAGAGAGCCAAACATACATGAAAGATGGAAGAAAGGGTGTAAAAATACACAAAGGTGCTCACCAAGAGAAGGATGGTTTTGGTAGCTCTGGACTCCGGGGAGGATCTGGAGGAGACATTGGTCCTATGAATGTGTTGGACCCTCTGCTTGTGCCTGTACAGTATGAAAACCATGGAACCACTGGCCCACATCATGAGCACCAAACTGAAAACATCAGGGACTGATAGCAATGCTGCATATAAAGAGTCTCTGGTTTTGTCATGACGAACAGCAGAACAGTATCCAAATGCTTTTCGGTTTGTGATGTTTTTCTTGCTCCAATTGCTGCTCACAAACATAGCGTACATAACGCTTATCAGCATGTGCAGGACCCAGCACAAGAAAATTGAAGGGACCATGCACTTGAGAGCTTTCATTTTAAGCTCTGCCCACCTGTAGTTTCTGGGGCAGATCATGATGGCCTGGAAGACACTCAAGAGGCAGGTGGTGCCGATAGACACACCCCTGCCCACACCACGAACATAGAAAAAAAATGTGCATCCAAAATCACTGAAGACCTGATACCACCCAAAAGATGACAATGTATAGGGGAGTCCGCTAGAGAATAGAACCAGTAAGTTGGCTACAATCAGGTTCTTGACAATCAAATCTGTGGATCTTAGCCTAGACCCAGTGAAATAAAGGAAAAGATAATGGCAAAGAAGGGAAAAATTCCCCAGGATTCCGACTGTGGTCTGTAATAAGAAGATCACTCCTACTGCTAATTCGCTAGAGGCCATCCTGTCGGTTGTCAGTGACAGATACTTGTCTTCTGAGTTAGAGGATCCTGCAAGGGAATATGAGACATGGCCTATGTGTATCATGTCAACTGAAATCCAATATTTGCCACTTATGAAGAGTCCCTACTTTTATGAAATTACTTAGTTTTTCTGTCATTTTCAGGCTTCCAAAAGTTGAAAGTCTAACAATTAAAAACCCCTGCAATGTAGGAATCATTGCCATGAAGGCCACACATGCTGTAATTGCTTTATTCCTCACAAATTCCTGGTGCAGGCACTATTACATTCCTTACAAAGATGAGGAAACTATAGACAATGAAAGGTTAAGTGTTTCCCTTAAATTTACCCACTGGTTAGGAACGGAGTGAGAATTTGAACCTGGCTGGGCTGATAACAAAAGTGGTGCATTTAATCCATAATATGCTAAAATACAAGTTACCTCTGTTCTTCAAATAAGCCAGATCTAAATTTAGTTTTGTGTTTGCACTTTGTCTATTCATTTTAAATGGATGATATTCTGTTTTTTTAAAAAAAGGTAATGACGAATTTCCTCTTACTTATAAAGACTTATTCTATAGGCAAATGTAAAATTTGAATAAAGCTTTAGAGATCTTAATAAAATGTAGATGCCCTGGTTGCAGTATAAAACTGCAGGATCCTGCCCGTGATAAGTTGGCTTTAATGAATGCAAGAATGCATCAACATTAGGATGGCAACAGAAACATTTGCTTTTATCCCAGGAACATAAGTAAAATGGCCTGATTCACAGGAACTATGAGAGATGAAACACTGATGTCTGATGAACACTGTCTAATAGAAACCAATTATTACTAATTTCAGAACATGCACACATCTGTTTATTAATACGTGAGTTAAATAAAGTTATTAGCACTAAGGCAAGTTTTGGGAAAGATAATAAAGAACAAGACACATGCAAAGTGCAAAGTTAAGGGAAAAACTTTGTGTACTGTATTAACCACATACATTTTTTGGATTGGTATTATAACATTTAAAGGCATCAAACGTAACATAATACATTTGAGCCTAACAATGTTATCCAAAACTTACAACAGTATGTTTTTCTTAAATGCTGCTCCCCTCACTTTACATGGGAAAAGTCTCTTAATAATCAATAGAGACACAATCATGCAATCTGTTAAGCACTTCATACACCTGGAGTTAGAGAAAACATTTCTATTCCAGAAATTGCTATCAGACAGACTGTTTCCGCACAGGATCAGATGATTCTGTAGGTTCATCCTATTCTTTATCATCAGCATGGAGTTATGTGTGCACCTCTGGAAACATGAATATTTTGTCTATGATTCCTATAAAGTAGTCTGAACAGCAGATTGACTCTGCAACAGTCCTTAAGCACATTAAAAATCAGATTTCATTATCCCTTGGATTAAACCAAAACAAGCACTGTTAGTAAGGACTACACAACATTACCTTAGGAGACATCAGGGATTGCTGGAAAGTCTAGGACCCCATCTCTCTAAACTAGCTTAGCTCATGCCTCAGGATTGATTCCACCTTCCTAAGTGACTTTAGTGCTGGACCAGGATCAAATGCAGAAAGTTCCCTTTGTCCAATATATTCACTCACCCAGACTCCTGATACAATTACTCCCCTTTGTCCAATATATTCACTCACCCAGACTCCTGATACAATTACTCTCCTTACAGATTCTGCCTCTCAGATGAACATAGAGAAAACTTACCAACTTTTTCCTACTGCCTGGATGGTGGGTTCATCATGAAGTTCAGAGTAGTCAGTGGGTATGCAAGAGGGGTAGCTAGACCCTGATATATGAGTTTGTGACTCTGTGACCTCACCTCTCCTAAGAATCGCAATTATCATTTCCCTTCTAGAAGCATTGGCAGTAACAGGCTTGGGAGTTGAGAATATTTTTCAAAGCATTTTTCACAAGTGCTAATTATGAAGAACAACTACAAGTTTCTAGTTAGCATCTCTTAAGAGACTGTTGCAGTGTTTGTGAGAAACTCTTACTTTTCCATGATCCCTGGAGGAAAATAGTGTCTCACATGGAGGAGAGCAGACAATCCTTAGGTCTGACACAGAAGGGACTGGTGGCGAGTATGCTTTTTTCACATAATGTTTTGCTTCACTGAGATGTTCTACCTATAAGTGAGTTCTATCCTAATTTATATAATTGAGCTACCCCATAAATTAAATTATGAGCAAAGAAGTGGAATTTTAAAAAATATGTGAGAAGGATTCAAAAAGAGATGCAAGTAACAAGAAGAACATTATGCCAGTAATTTACATTAGATATCATTGCACTCATTTGTACAACTCAATATCAATTAATATGTGAACTGTCTGGATACTCTGTCAATATTGACCCCCACTAGTGACAGGAAGGAGAAGCAGACTAATATCCATAGAAGAAACAGACAAGATTCTAAAACAATCCCTCACAAGGAAAGCACCAGGATCAGATGTTTTAACAGGCAGATTCCATAACTCTTGTAACTATCAGATAAACAAAGTTGCTTACTTAATTCAAGACCATCTAATGGTCAACGCAGTCCTCTACACATTCTGCAGTATTTCCAGTAAGGTACTATGACTGCTTTTTAATTAAGAAATCTATTTATAATGGCTCAAGAAACAAAAAACAAATATAAATTATGAGGTGAATTTAATTCTTTAGGTTTTCCTACACGCAAATTGACTCTTTGATCCAGGTTCACTATGCTATTTCCCTCAATTGTCAAGTTGTTTGTTACAGCCATAATAGTGGACAACTGACCCTACACACATGCATAAACTCATTTACACACAGATGCAGACACACACATGCATGAACTCTCACTTCCACGCTCACACATGTAGTCACATACATTCACATTCTTATACACGTATACATTCACATAAATAAGTGGGCAGGAGTCAAGTAAAAGCTGTTAGAATGCTTGTTACCTAACTCAAAGACCCCCATGTCATGATGAGTTGATCACAAAATGCGTCATTGACGCTTTCACCTGCCAATGTTAAGAAAACTTCCATACAGTGAGGTACACTGTAAAAGACCACACAATCCACAATGCCACAACACATCCCTCTTAGATATTAATTTGATTCTGAGACACTCAAATGCTAATTAAAAGAAATGATGGGGGGGCTGGTCCCATGGCCAAGTGGTTAAGGTCACGCTCCACTTTTGCTGCCCAGGGTTTCACTGGTTCAAATCCTGGGTACAGACATGGCACCACTCATCAGGCCATGTTGAGGTGGCATCCCATATAGCACAACCAGAGGCACTCACAGCTAGAATATACAACTATGTACCAGGGGGCTTTAGGGAGAAGAAGAAGAAAAAAAACAAAGATTGGAAACAGATGTTAGCGCAGATGCCAATCTTAAAAAAAAATAAAGAGATGAGATCTTTAATGTCTAAAGAGTCAGGCATTGGTAGTACAGTGGTGAGCATAGCTGCCTTGGAATGAGTCAAGTGCACCACATTCCAGCACACCTGCTTATTTCATGTGTAAAAATTATAGTCCCAGAAGATGTAGAGATCTAGCAAAATGGCAAGATCTTACTAAAAACAACCTAGGATTAAAATGCCCATTACATGAAACATTCCAATTACACAAGAGTGTTTATTTAAGAAGTGCACGTGAAAGGAAAGCTTCCTGAATTAAACAAACAAACTGAATGGGATACCTATTTTAATTGGTGTACTGGAAGCTCATTGAATTGGAAGAAGCTTCTAAAAGGTTGCCATATTCTAAAATAGCTTCATTGAAAGCCTCATTACAAAAGGCTAATGAAAAATTAGACAAAGAGGTACGTAAATCAAAACACAAGAGGACTGATGTGACTCCTACTGCTACCCACCATCCATCTTCACTTGAGCACTCACGTTTACTGATTCTCTGTCTGAACTGCCTTTCCACTTTGAAGAGACTGTTAAACAGGTACCTTTTAATATAAAAATACCATATCTTGAAGACGAAGATTTTCAGGTATCTTTCACCCCTTTGGTCAAAGACCAAACTAAAGGCCATAGTTAAAAAATTTCCTAAACCCAGGGAAGATCCCCAAAAGTTTTTTTATGAAATTAAAATCATTATGGGGCTGTGATCTGAGGCTGCCAGATGTTTATCAGTTTGTGCCTGTATGGGAGGATCTGGTAGAGCCCAAAAATGGATGCAAGAAGCAAAATTGTAAAACACTGAAGATGATATTTGAGATCCTTGATCTTCAATTTATTCTCATATAAGACAAGAAAGGGCTTACAAAATAGCAACTGTACATTTACAAATCATTCCTAGAGTCTTCCCTACCTGCACTGATTGGGATATTATGCAAACAAACAAACAAACAAACAAACAAAAAAGGATGAATCTGTAGCTGAATTTAAAACCCATTTGGAAGCCCTCTTCCTAGCATTCTAGTTTCATACAATAAATTAGGTCACCCAACCTGCTCCTGCTAACCTATTTCTAAGTGCATTATCTCCTGAGAATAGTAGGTTTATAAAAAGGCAGAAAATAGGGTGGGAATGAAATGCCTAAACGAAATTGTGACTAGAGTTGAGCACTTTGAAAGGACCCTGGAGGAAGACCACAAACATAAATCTGCCAAGCTGTGGGCCTTACAGCTACAACAGCTCCATGGATGGAGACCTAAAATAACAGCTCTTGCCTTGCAGCCTTGTAGGAGTCCAATAAAAAACAAACAAAAGCAAACTAGGCAGAATTCTATGTCTCAGTGGTAAGCAAATTGGGACACTGGAAAGAAGCTTGCCCTTAAAGTTCATATACAAATTCTTCAGCATCAACTTGAATACCCCTAACGGAAGGCTCCATATGGGCCTCTCCAATAACTGACTGGACTCTGAGGGGTTCTCCTGTAAAATGCTACCGGGAATTCCCTTAAACAGCCAATGGGAAACTAATATTAAAATAAATTTGAAATTTTGCCAAATAGCAGTTGACACCAGAGCTATGCTTTCTCCTTTAAAACCCATTCTCAAAGGACAACAAATCCTTCAGAGTGAAAAAAGGTTTTGGTAGTGGGGCCATCTAATAATGTTCAGAGACAATTTCTATCTCAACCAGTATAAATGACTCTGGAACCTCTGACTGAAAAACTTCCTTTTTTGCTATGTGAAACAGCCCCAGTCAATCTACTAGGTCGAGATCTCCTTTCTAAATTAAAAGGGCTAATACATTTTACTTCCAATGGACACCTCATCTTAGCATTTCCTGATCAATCTGAACCTGATCTTTCATGCTCTTTACAATCTGCCCTTGACATAGAAGATGAAGAATTAGAACAAAACTTCCCTAATATAATTGAGGTGCCTGAAAATCACTGGGTAACTTTTGACACTCAGATTGGGAGAATAAAAAGTGCAAAGCCTATGAAGATCCAAATAGATATGACTAAACGTCTTCCTAAATTGCCTCGATATCCATTAAATTTTGAGCCACACAAGGTCTCATACTCATAGTACAAGACTTACTCCCCCAAAGGCAGGTCGTTCCCTGTACCAGCCCCTATAAAACACTGGTCTTGCAAGTTCAGAAACCTAATGAGATGGGATGATGATTTGTCCAAACCAAAGTTGAAAGCTATTAGCAAGAGACTTAGTTCCCATCTACCATTGATCTAGACCAGAACACCCTGACTCAGGAGGGCATGGAGAAGGGAACATGGAAGTGGGGACTCCCATCCTAGAGTGAAGTGTTCTCTTGCCCTGAAAAAGTGTAACTCAAAACCTCATGAGTAAGAAAATCTATTCCTGCCACAGAAAGGGCAAATCTCCCAAAAGTTAAAATCAAAAAGAAGATGAGACATATGTATTAGTGTCTTCACCCAAGAAAACTAATAACTGGAAATTTTTTTGCAAAAGCCAAGTCAGACTCAGCCTCTGACAAAGTCCAAATCCACTTAAAATCAGAGCTTTATTCATGAACAGTACAGTCTCTGGAACTCAGGAGAGCAAGATAGTCATTGGCCCAATTCTAGGGAAGAAACTGTGGTTTTAGCATGGTCTGAAAATATGGGAGGAGAGTCAGCTCAGGGAGAGATTCTGGCTCAGACAATGCCCACGGGTGGATATTCTAGTGACTATAGGGCTTCTTCCTTCCTCAAGCAAAGGAAGTGATGAGTGCTACATCCAGCATCCAAAAAGTCACTTCTGAGAGCCAACACTTAACCTTCTCTAGATTCTCTCTCTTTCTCTTTCTTCCTCCTTCCCTTCCTCCCTCTTTCACTCCCTCCCTCTCTCTCATAGCAACCCAATGCTTCATTGGGATCCTGGATTCCACAGGCCAGTCTTGGAATGGAGATGCATGAAAGAGAGGAAGCAGGGAAGGAGTTTTGAAAAAGACAAAGAAGTTCCAGTGGAACCTCAGGTTTAATCTGACTAACTTTCCAAGATGAGAACTAGGAGATGGGTTTAGATGTGGTAAAAATAGGAGAAAAGGGATTTTATGGAAATGTTTGAAGAATGTCCTTTTTGGCTAGAGTCTAGTAACTTTAGATTCTGAGATTATTAGGAATTAGGATACAAGTTCAAAAGTTCCATGAATATATTATAAAGGCTCACACATGTGCATTGCTTTATACCAAGTGCTTTCACAGGCAGAATCCCCTGTGGGGCTCACAGTATCCCTGTGAGGAATGCAGACAACTTGCCACCTCATCAGAAAAGTCTGAGATTTAAGGAAATTATCAGTGTCCAAAGTGAAGACTAGAAAATTTTGTTTCCAAAATCAACTAATGGTCCTCCCACTACATCACAAGTTTCCCCTAATGGAGAAAACCCTTTGCTGACTCCATTATCTTTTAATTCCAATGGATGGACAGAGCAAAGAATGGGACAAGTGTCCCAGCTTATGCTTCCTTCCTATGACCTCCCTCTGAAGGCTCTGCTGTCTGAAAGGGTCAGGTTTCAAAAGTTGACATATTCAGAGACTGGGGACTTGGGAACCCTAAGAAAGCCAAGACTAAGGCTTACCCTTGGGGACCTCAGAATTGAACAGGTAGACCCCTACCTTTCATATTAGTTTTCTAGGGTTTCATAACAAAATACAATAGCCTGGGGGGACCTTAAAAAACAGACATTTATTTTTTCACAGTTCTGGAGACTAGAAGTCGAAGATCAAGGTGTCAGTAGGTTTAGTTTCTTGTAAAGTCTCCTCCTTGGCTTGCCAATGGCCACCTTATCAGTGTGTCTTCACACAGTCCGTCTCCCATATGCACATAGGTCTGGTGTCTCTCTATGTGTCCAAATTTCTTCTTATAATGACACGAGTCAAAGTTGATCAGGGCCCAACCTACTGGACACATTGCAAGTTAATCACCTCTTTGAAGGCCCTATCTCTAAATGTAGCCACCTTCTGAGATACTGGATTTTAGGGCTTCAATATATCAATTTGGATGAAATAATTCAGCCCATAACACTCAGCTCTCTGGACTCCCCCAAATTCATGTCCTTCTCACATGCAAACTACTTTTCCCCCCATTTCAACATCCCAAAGTTCTTAACTGATTCTGGCATCAATTCTAAGTCCCAAATCTCATCTAAGCATCAGCTAAATAATGGATGTTTGAGATGTGTGATATAATTCACCATAAGACAAAATCCTTTCCAGCTGTAAACCTGTGAAAACAGGCAAGTTATCTGCTTCCAAAATAAAATGGCCTGGACAGGCATAGGACAGGCGATCCCATTCCAAAAGGTGAAACTGGAAAGAAGAAAAGAGACACCTGTGCCAAGCAAGTAAAACACCTAGGAAGGCAAACTATACTAGGTTTAAAGCTTGAGAATTATTCTCTTTGGCTGAATGTCCTATCCTCTGGGACCCACCTCCTGGACTGTCAGGAGTAGCTTGAAAAGAGGGACTTTTGAAGGACAAAGCTCACTATACTCTCATCCGCATGCCTCCTGCTGGCTAACGTGTTTCATCCCAGGGGTCCATTTGTTCCTCTTCCTCTACCTCCACATAATCAGAGTGTCTCATTCTGATACCTGCAATTTCAACTTTTTGGCAATCATCCCATAATTTCACTCAGAAACTTTGTCCAGAAGAACCAGGTGCAAGAGGACAAGTATGTTTATACAAAACTGAATCAGAAATGAGTTTGAATCACATGGGCAGATGGTGAGACTGAGTTTTCTCAGTGTTGGAGAGAGAGGT